TGTTTGTATGTGTGTGTGTGTGTTCAGGCATGTGTGCCCTTGCATGCATGTCATGTGTTTTCAAGTGTGAAGGCCAAAGTAGAGCGTTGGATCCTGTGGAGTTGGAGCGGAAGACAGTTGTGAGCTGCCTGACATAGGTGCCATTAACTGAACTCTAGTCCTCTGAAGAGCAGCAAGCTCCCTTAACTGCTAAGCCAATTCTCCAGCCCTTACATATGCTCTTTTGTGAAGCAATTATTAAGATTTTATTGGATTTTGTAGTTAATTTTTCCATTTGTCAGCATCTTTCACATATCTGGAGTATGAGTCTTGTTGGAGATAAATATTAAAAATATTTCTTTCTTTTTCATTGTCAATTTTTTTGATTTGTGATGTTTCATTTTTTGAGATAGGGACTCATGTTGCACAGGCTTGCCTTGAAGTCACTGAAGATGACTTGGAGCGTCTGGTTCTTCTGCCTCTACATCCCACATGGTAGAACTGTAGATTGCTCTATTATGCCTGGTTTATGTGGTTCTGGTATTCCAACTCAGAACCGCATACATCTAGATACCCTACCAACTCAACTACACCCTCAGCCTCCACCTTTTATTTCTCATAATATCTTTTCATAAATGCATTTTTATTTTGGTGTGGTCTAACTTACCAGTATTCCTTTTCTTTCTGATAGCGCCTTTAAATTTTTTTTTTTTTTTTTTTTTTACGAGACAGGGTTTCTCTGTATTGTTTCGGAGGCTATCGGTCCAGCCCGTCGTCGAACTCACAGAGATCCGCCTGCCTCTGCCTCCCGAGTGCTGGGATTAAAGGCATGCACCACCACCGCCCGGGGACCTTTAAATATTTTTTGAAATTAAAATATTATTGCATCCATCTTGAAAAAGAACAAGGACGCATCACCCTCTCAACTAGATGGATGTAAATCTATAGATGCGCTTCATTATTAAAGCCAATTAAATTTTATATCGCACTAGGTTAAATATAGATTTATACCCCTACTCAGTGGTCACATTCCTCACATCAATTAATCTATAGAAAAACTGTTTTCTTTCTATACCCAAATTATAGTATGAACAAATTTATAGTCGCATTAAAATCATATTGTTTTGTTTAAAAAATATCATTGCATCATCTTCTCCTTTTCCTTTCCTCCCTCCAGCCCCTTTCATGTACCCCTCCCCCAGTTCATGGCCCCTTTTTCTGTAGTTGTTACATACACACACATGCTTGCACATGCGCTCCTCCCTCCACATTTCTTAAATAGAAAAATACAATCTGCTCAGTATGATGGGGCATGTTTGTTAGTGTTTTCCTTTTTTGGATCTTTGTTCATGCAGCCATACCGGTGAGAGGTCATGCATGTAGCTTCCCTGAAAGTCTTAGAGGTCACAATCTCCCAGCGAATCTTTTTTGTCGACAACATCTGCTTTGCTCTGTTAAAAAAGTTGCCTTCCTTCACTTGATACTTTTGAGCAGTAGCAACGTGAAGGACCTCTGCTGTCAAAAGTCATGCCAATCAAATGTATGCCTGGGTTCTGGAGGGAGAGTCCTGGCAGATGCTTGTGGAAAATGGAATATTTATGAAGCATTTTGGGTTTACAGAGCCATTTATCACTCTGTCACATTTGATTCAGTGAAGGAGCTCTTTTAGGAGCTGCAGGGGTTCTTGGTCAGTTTTGATGCAGAGGGGACTGGGTAGCACACACACATACACATTCTCTGGAGGCTCTGTCACCTCCACATTTGGATAGCATCACAGACCAGACTTAGGAGTTGGACTGTGGTCATGGACTTGCCCTGTAACTTGCTGGCTGCAATCAGGGACACAGTTCTTAACTCCCAGTCTTGGTTTTCTTGTCTTTTAGATGGGAGCAATGAGAATGTGCTTACCTCATGCCTAGGCATGAAGTGTAGACTAATTATAGAGTGCTTAGGCCAGCAGGTGATATGCCATGCTGGGCTAAACTGTTGCTCTTACATCACAGTTTTACTGGGTCACAGTGCTGTGAACCAGGAAGAGTTTCAGTCATATACCCCATTTCTCTGTCGTGGGTTTGTATTTCTTCTCTTCAGGTCTCCTCTCCCTTTTCCCTTACCCCCTCGTTTTTGCTATGAAAAAACTGGCACGCATCCCAAACATGAGCTAAATAGTAATGCTGTAAGAAAGTTTGAAAGTTTGCTGATATGCAAAGTGTCACGTCATGGAAGGTTTTTCTTGTTTTATTTTGTTCGGAGATATGTTGCTAATCTAGGGGCCTTGATAAGGTAATTATGAGAAGTTATTGTTTGATTCCAAAACAAAGTTGACCCTATTTTCTTGGCTTCTTATGAAAGTCACATGTAGGATTTGCATTAGTATTTTTGGTTTAATAAGGGGAAAATATGAGTAGTTCTACCGAGAAAGTATAGTGCTTTATTCAGATGTACATACATGAGGCCGAGAAAATTGTCTGAATTTGGGGAATATAATTATAACTAAATGTGTTATATCCAGCTTTATTCACCATCTATCTTCCAGGGCGTATCCCCCTACACTAAGGTTGCAAGACCACATGTGGAAAATAATTTGTATTTTGATATATCTTTTTGAAGTGGAAACAAGTCATGTTGACTTCCCTGGTTACTAAGGCCCAGTAGCCCTCCCTTTACAGCCTCTGAGTTTTTTCTGAACTTCCTCTTGGTGGCTTTGGGTGGAAATATCACGCCGTAGGCCATCAAGTTGATGTGACATCTGTGCTATCTCTGCATTCTTGATGTTGGGGCGGCTCTTGATCTTTCCATTGCTCCCTTGCAGGGAAGGAACTGGAGGTGTGCTGCTGCTTGACTCCCAGTGTAGAGAGGAGGCTGTTAGTACTTGTAGTGCAGGGGAACCCAGAAGGACAAGGTGGGGATGAGTTAGGTGCTTCAGGGCTTTAGGCTTACATCAGGATCACCAGGAGAGTTGTTTTAACTCTCCATTTCCCAGGCCCAGCCCAGAAGCTCAGCTTCCAGAGGGTGGGGTTGGGCTGGGAATCTACACACACACACACACACACACACACACACACACACACACACACACACACACTTTAAAGATGGATTGCTGGACTCAAACAGGTAGTACCAGCAAACGAAGCAAACAAATAACTACAAGTAGAGAAGCATCCAGAGAAGTGAAGCTAGGGTTTTGGGAACTTTGAGCAGATTGTAGCTTCTTAGGGTTTGGATTTCAAAGCACATTGTGGCACAGGCACAGGATGGGGGAGGGAGCATCCAAGCTGCTCTGCCTCCAGGCTGAGGCTCAGTTCAGTGCATTCGCAGCTGTGAGCAGCGTCTGGGTACACAGGGAGTCTGGCACACATGGACTGCTGGACATTTGGGTCTGAGAAGCAGAGGGAGAGCCCTGACCGATGCTGGGGAGAAGACTCTGGACTCGCTTTTCTCGGATGGTGCCAATTCCCAGTGTGGCTTCAAGGAATGACTTCCTTCTCGGGAATCTGTCTTTAGTCCTCACCACCCCACCTATTGCGACCCTCATGTTCCCAGCCTGCCTGGCAGCCTCCACCTGTCTTGCTTGTGGGATCATCCCCTCGCCTCCCCCCCTCCCCGTCCCTCTTCACTTCTACCTCGGGCCTCGTGAATTCTTGACCTTTGTGCTTTCACTGTCACAGCTGTGAAAAGCATAGAGTGGAAGGCATTGAGAGGGGGAGGGGGAAGATGCGCTGTGTGTTTAAACACAATGGCCATGTCCTATTGGTTGAACAGAGATGATAGGCATTGGCATGGGTGTGCTTGGTGCCGTCATCCCTGGCTTGGGTGGTTTTAGTACTACACTGAGTGCATGTGGGTGTAGATGGCAAGCGATCTCTCTGTCTTTCAGGGTTTCTCACTCTGAAGATGAGGCTTTAAAAGAGCTCTTCTTAAACTTTAAAAAATATATTTTAAATTTATTGTTTGAGGATTTCATACATGTACATAAAGTGTTTTGATCAGATTCACCCTTGAGGCCCCTCCCCACTACTCTTCTCTGACAACTTCATGTATCCATTTTAAACTCTCCAAGTCGACTTAGTGCTGTCATTGTGTACTTGGATATAGGCCTAACCACTAGAGCATAGACACTCTATTGGGAGGCCTCATCCTGGGAGGTGGGGGGACTCCTTCCAGCAGCCAGCAGCTGTCAATAACTCCTTAACTAGAGGTGGGATCCATTGGTACTAGGATTTTTGAGGGTTTCTGTGTTCGTTAGCAATTTGATAGACATTAAATTGTTTCAACGGAATGCACATATGTTTGAGGGGAAAAGGTTTGAGGGCAGCATGGGACCAACGCTGACTAAAGAGGCGCTGCTGTAAGGGGTGTGTGACACACTCCTCGAGCCGTTTTATTGCCCCGTCTTTGCTGTGAGGCATGCCATTTGTAAAGGAAGCAGGATGTGATGCTGCGGGGACTGTCCTGAGGGCTTATGCTCATTGTGGATAGCAAGTAGGTTTCAGTGAGAGCATGAAGAGTAAATGCCTGTGCAGCACCCAGTTTCTGGCATGTGGGTGGTCATTAAAACAATTTACATACATCTAATCTAATTGCAATCGCCAAGACAAGTCACTTAATAAATTTGGTAACAAGGGCAGTTTAGAAGCATTGGATTTGGTATTAAGAAATATGAAGTATTCAAAATGGGTATGTCTCTTTTTATCTAGAGTCAACTCAGTTCCCTTTAGGAAATACTGCATTCCCCCTTTAACTAAAAATCCCTGTTAAGCAAATGGGTTATGGTCCAAGGGACAAAGAAGCTCTAAAGGAAGCAGGGAGCTAATAATTTGTGTCCTTTACTTCTATCTCCTGCCCCTCTGAGAGAGATGGGCAAATTGAAAAGGACATGAGGAGGTGACTGTGCCTTTCTCCATGCATTTGGCTTCAGCGTCCCCTCCCTCTGATACGTGGACATGTCTCAAATGTTCTCTTTTGCCAGTGCCTCTTCGTGTGGCACTGGGGTCATGTCTGTGTCTTTCCTTTCTCTGTAGGTCAGGGGTTATCACCATGCAGGCGTTGTCGGAAGAGGACCGTAGGCTCTGGATGGAAGCCATGGATGGCCGGGAACCTGTAAGTAACAATTCAGGGAAGTGGAACAATAAAGACCAGGGAGCAGTGTGCAGCTTCCCTACTGAGAGGCTTTTGCTTTTGCTCTAAAGCTTTGACTCTTTGAAACCAATGTCCCAGGAGGGTTTTTTATTTGTAGATTGATGTTTGTAGATATACTGCAGTTGCTTCTGTGTGTGTCTAGTTCCCAAGTTTTGGCCTTGGCTCCTAAGGTAGAAGTTCTGTGATAGTACAGGAGGCTCCCTCTATTATAGACACAAGCATATTGTTTACGGGCCTCTTAGAAGAGGCAGAGTAGTCTGGATTCCTGGATGGATATTGATCATATGTTGCCTTCACAAAAAGTAGGCTGCAAAGCATGAACCCAGCTGCTTTTAATGGGATATACAGTTGTAAAGGTATATATAGGCGACACAGCGTTTTATCATTGTCATCTGATTAGGTTTCCCATTGCTATGGTGATTCACATCTCACGGTAAGCAGTGGGACATTATCAGGGTAGATGGAAGAAGTTAAGCCTGGTGACATGATCTGTGTTCCCATTTCAGAGATGCTGGCCTCAGCAGGGTTTTGTGATCTTGTGGTTGTTATGCAACCTGTGACATGTAAAACCCATCTGAGAGCCCTGGGGTAAGTCCCAGAACAGTCCTTTTTATCTTGATGCTGAGAATCTCAACTACAATTTCCTAATGCTATGGTCACAAAAATCCTAAGAGTAGAGTATAGCTGTTTCGTCATAAAAGATAAAAAGGTTCTACATGTGTAAAGGCATGATCCAAAGGGGGAAATGCGTTCCTGATAAGACAGATCATGGCTTCTGTTGCCTAGAGAACGCTGTGAATCAAGTCTTTGCCCCTTGCAGATGATCTCAGTTCATTTGTGGCTCTTTGCTAGTCTATGCTGGTGGGATGATCTGGCAGCATAGAGGAATGTGCTGCTCTACCCAGCTATATTATATAAACACAGTACTAAATCTAGTCAACAAAGCACAAGTAATTACTAGGGTTTTATACTTTTAGGTGATATATATCCATGTTAATTAACTACTTAAAGATGAGGCAAAGTAGGATAAACTATAATGAAACAACTGTTTAATCTGAATTCTTTTCTTAGGTCAAAATATAGGATACCCTCAATTTTTCCTATATGCATTATTATCCATAGAAACTCCCCCCAAAGCAGATACACCTTTATCCTTGTAGGATATCATAGTCATAATTGCCATTTCACCTCAGAGACCCTCAAAAGGAGCTTCTTGAAAGCCTTCATCTTTGCTGGCACCATCCACCATCAACTGAGCAGTGTGTGTGTGTGTGTGTGTGTGTGTGTGTGTGTGTGTGTGTGTGTTTTACTGGATTTAATGTCTTAAAAACTACTTATTTTTTACTGTCTTAGGAAATAGATATTGTGATTCATTTTATAGGTGAGAGAACAGATTTACAGGGATTAAACAAGTTCACTCAAGCTTCACAGATAAAAATGGCTAACTTTGTAGAGAGCAGGCCAGAATGTTATACCTTGAAGAGACTTAAAGTGTCGTAGCACGTGTGGATGGAAGTGTGTGTGCCTGTCAGAGCTCTCGCCTGGGCTCTCACCCACCGTGACTGCTTTGCTACCTGGACCCATGGTTTCCTGGGCTGTTCTGTCATTGCCTTGCTCCAGTAAGAAAATGGTGTTGGAAGCATCCACAGAAAGCATTGTAAGGTACTTAGAGTTTCCTTGCGGCTTCCATTAGTAAGCATGAAGTGGCTGTACCTGCCCTCAGATGAGAATGGAGAAATCCAGATACACATAGGCAGCCATTGACCCTGCCAGTCAGTACCCAGGGCACTTCACAGAACAAGATGAAAAAGGATGTCATTAGTTTTTGGCAGTCTCCACTATAGGGGCGCAGCTCAAGTCTATCCCTAAATGTGTTTAGGTTTCATCTCTAATATATTTTTCAGACTAAGGATTCATGCTCAGTTACCTCAGCAGTACTCCCTTTCTCTGACTCACTTGAATGACTCCCCAAACTCAGAATAGGAAATTCTGACTACAGGTGAAAACTCATACCAAGAATAACATGCAACTACAGGTGAAAAATCCTGTAGTTGCATGATATTCTTGGTCTGAGTTAAACAAAAACAAAATAAAGCAATAACAAAAACACATTCCTCACTGCCCCAAGCTCAACTTCTAATACTGCCTCACCACCATTTTAAGCCTCCTCTTCTCCTCCTCCCTGCTACGTGATACTTGTTCTGCATCTGCGTGTACTTGGTCCCTACTAACCCCTTCAGTCTTCTCAGAGGTTAGTAGCTGTCCTGTGCAGATGGGAAATATACTCTTGAAAATAAGCATCTCTTTTCTCCAGGATGTACACATTAATAACAAGTCTAAACACAAGATGATTCTGTCTCCAGACATTCTGTAAACCTGTTGCCTCAGAGGAGCATATAACGTGTGTTGGAAACTACCCCTCTGTGCGCTTTCCAGTGTCCAAAAGGGAAAGATAAATACAGACAAATGAGGGCTGCGTAATTGACAGTAACAGGAGGTGCAATTTTGTCTCCCACTGCTGAGAGCATAGTAGACAATTAGCAGCTCCATTTTAATCACCTCCTCTCTAATTAGTTAAATATGCCCCCTTGGGAGTTTTGGCTTTTCCTCAAGCTGATCTTAGCGTAATTCCCTAATATTGGGGAAATTTTATTACATTAAGGAGGCATAAATAAGGATACCTGCTGGCAAAAATATTATTCAGTATTGGAATGTTTTGGAGATGGTACTGGGGAATTATGGTTTCTATTCTTATTTTTTCTTTCATTGTTTAGTAACATTTTAGGATGACTGAGGAGGGGCATCTAAATAAACTCCACCTTAGTTGATTTTGTAACGTAATTGTTACATAAACCACAATTTTTAGCCTATAGTCACACTCTATCCTAAAGACATGTTGAATATTTTCATGGTATTGATGGACATGTGATCGGGGAAGAAATTGGAACTGCATTTCAACATTAAACATCATGATTTTATCCGCAGATCAATGAAATGTTTTAATTCAGACAGAGGGGACCCAGTTAAAACTTGCTTGAGAAAAACTGTGTTTGTTGGGTGGTATAGCAGCAGCGTACACAGCACCTTTCAGTACTATGAAAATTAGCCAGCAGGGAGGGAACTTCCTGGTCAGTACTAACTTGATGTTTATGTCCTGTGACTACTGTGTATAGTATCCTCAGCAACAGGGTCCTACCATCAAGTTCTGGTGGGCAACCAAGAGCAATGGCCTTAGCCTATATTTTTTGGATGTCTCTAGGACACCCCTGACCAACAACTCTAAGAGAGTTATCACAAACCTGGCACTAGGCTATTTATTTGGCCACCTGTATCTTCTGGGATTAGTATAATACCCTGTGTGGGTAACTCCAATTAAACTCAATGTGTATGTCTGTCTGTGTATGTATATGCATAGGTGTATATAAATATACGCATGTGTACATACGCCTATGCATATAAACATGTGTATCACATGTATATCATATATATGTATATATATACATATATATATATGAAGCTTGTAAGGTGGTAGGTGTTACAGATTGCTTTTAATGTTAGTTACCCCTCCTCCTCTCATTCCACTCCCACTGCCTCTCCTTCCTATCCCCCTTAACATTTATGACACTGACACACATGGACATATCTTACCCCTCTTCCCACTTAAACCTCCTTCTCCATTATTCCCCTTTTCCTGTTCATACACTTGTGTTCTGTTTTGTATGTTTTTTCACATAGTTCTATTAAGCTTTTAGTTTAATTACTTCAGCAACTTTACCCATTTTTGGCATTCATTTTTTTCAGATTTTTATTATTACAAACAATGATGTAATGAGTACTTTATGTACATTTCACTAATTACTTATTTCAGCACTTTTTTTGGGTAGGATACCCACACATCAAATGGAATTGCCAGGGCTGATTGCAAATATATTTTAGTAGATATTGTCATATTATTCCCCCATGTTATTGCCAAATGAGTCTCTTATTATAGCCCGATTTGTGCGTTAGCTTTATAAACATAAAGTGTGATTCATGCTGTATAAAGTGTCTAATTCCCTTTTCAAATTTCTAAGCTATACTTGACACCATCAGTTCTCTCAGCTCTGCCCTCAAAGCCCAGGACTTGGTCCTAGCTTTCCCACTGGCCTCTTGGCTGGTCAAACTTTCCTGTTTGTTTCGACAGGTAAGTCTTGTTCCTAGCCATCCACACTTGTTGCTGAGGTTTGGAGTCATTAATGAGGGAGCTGTTGCAGCCAAATGGGCATATCTTGTATCTTACCTGAGCTGTGGTTCTCTTAGCATAATCTGAAGTGGGACTGTTGGGCCATCTGTACCTGTGTGCTCTGCCAAGTCAGTATTCTGCTGGGCTGTCCCAAGGTGTGTCAGAGTCCTTTAAATCAAAGTCCTTTTGGCGAAAAACAATCCCTTATCAAGGAGTTACTGTTGCTGTGGTGCCTCATGACTAGAAGAACTCTCAGTCCCAGACACCCCATGACATGTGACCAGTCAGTGTTTCTACCTGGTGTTCCATCCTATAGAAAGCATGGAAGATGCCGCCAATATTTATCTTCCCTGTAAGAGAGCTGTTGTAACGTTACACTCGATTTGTGTGCTCTGCATGTTCCTGCCTCTGAGCTTGTGACTTAAGCTAACTATTGTCCTGCCTTTTTTGATGGGGACACCCTGAGTGAGGGAGGCTGTAACTCTGAAGGTTTCTGTCACCAGTTCTTCTTTTGAATTCAGGTTCAGGCTCATACAACAGTTCCCTGTTTTGCTTCCTATATCTGGAAGATGACATCTTGGCAAATCAAGAAGTTATTTGAGGCTCTGGCTGTGTGTGTATGTGTGTTTTCAATAGGTCATTAAAACATTAAAATATTTTTCATTTTAAAATCTTTTGAGACTTAAGTATAACCAAGAATTCAAGAACATTCTTTACCTATATAAACCTAATGTTAGAG